AACAAATAATGGTTACTTTGTGCCAGACAGTATTCTAAGCATTTCACTATATTAAATGTTTTTAATCTTACGAGTTGTTGATGGTGTTGCTGTTGTTAGGTGCCATCGAGTTGGTACTGACTCATAGCAACTCTATGCACAACAGAAGAAAACACTGCCCAATCCTGGGCCAACTTCACAATTGTTGCAACGCTTGAGGCCATTGATGCTGCCACTTGGCCAATAACATCTCACTGGGGTCTTCCTCTTTTTCTCTGACCCTCCACCTTACCAAACATGATATCCTTCAGCAGCAACTGGTCCCTGCTGACAATATGTCCGAAGTATGAGTGATGAAGTTTGGCTATCCTGGCCTCCAAGGAGCACTCTGGCTGCACTTCTTCCATCACAGATCTGTTGGTTCTTTTGGCAGCCCGTGGCACTTTCAATATTCTCCTCCAACACTATAACTCAAAAGCATCAATTCTTCTATGGTCTTCCTTATTCATTGTCCAGCTTTCTCATGCATATGAGGTTAATGAAAATACCATGGCTTGAGTCAAGTGTACCTTAGCCCTCAAGCTGACATCTTTGTTCTTCAACACTTTAAACAGGTCTTGCAGCAGATTTGCCTAATGCAACACATCATTTGATTACCTGATTGCTGCTTCCATGAGTGTTTATAGTTGATCCAAGAATGAAGACCTTGACAACTTCAATCTTATTTCTGTTGATAAGAATTGTTTATTGGTTCAGTGGTAAGGATTTTTGTTTTCTTTACATTGAGATGCAATCCATACTGAAGGCTGTGGTCTTTGATCTTCATCAGTATTTCAAGTCGTCTTCACTTTCAGCAAGCAAGGTTGTATCATCTGCATATTGCAGGTTGTTAACGAGTCTTGAGTCTCCCTCGAATCCTGATGCCACATTTTTCTTCATATAACCCATATTCTTGGATTATTTGCTCAGCATACAGGTTGAATAAGTATGGTGAAAGAATACAACCCTGTCGCACACCTTGCTTAATTTTAAACCATTCAGTGTTCCCATGTTCAGTCCAAACAACTGCCTCTTGGTCCATGTATAGATTCCTCATGAGCACAATTAAGTGTTCTGGAATACTCATACTTCACAATGCTCTCCATAGCTTGTCATGATCCACACAATCTTATGAGTTACGTACTATTATTTTCCCCATTAGGAAACAATGGTGTAATAAGGTCCACAAAAGTTAAGTGATTTTCCCAAGGTCATACAATGAGTTAAGTTAAAGAGCAAGGATGCCAACCCAAGTAGTCTGGCTCAGAATCCATAGTCTTAACCACTACATAATTCTTAGGGAAACTCACATATTTAGTGAATGGGAGGGCAAGTCAAAACTAGGGAGGAAGATCCATATGTAAAGATAATCAGGAAGATAAATCCAGAAGTTTCCCTCAGCCATTGCATCCCTCTACATACCAGTTCCACCACTCATTAGTTTGTCACACTGTGGTGGATTGAGTGCTGCTGTAATTCTTGAAGCTATGCCATGGGTATGTTAAATACCAGTAGTGTCACCCACGGTTTCAGCTAAGCTTCCAGACTAAGACAGACTAGGAAGGAGGAGAGATAGACTACTTCTGAATATTTAGTCACTAAAAATCTTATGAATAGCAGTGGAACACTATCAGAACCAGAATACTGACTATTGAAACATAATGAAGAACTCAGTATTGTCAGATATAGTGCCGGAATATGAGGCCCTCAAGTTAGAAGGCACTCAAATAAAAGTTGACCATGATAACATGAATGGAGTAAAGACTTTGGGACCTTCATTTGCTGAAGGGGAACAACTCAAAATGAAGAGAAACAATTGTAAACATTCATTAATAATAGGAACATGGACTGAACAAAGTATGAATTTCAAAAATTAGAAATTGTCCAAAATGAAATGAAATGCATAAACATCCATATCCTTGGCATTGGTGAGCACAAATGGATTGGTATTGGCCATTTTGAATCTTACAATCACATGGTTTACTATGCCAAGAATGACAAAGCCCTGCAAGAAAAAAACTGCCAACCAAGAATCGTCTATCCAGCAACACTATCAATCAAATATGATGGTGTGATCAAAACATTCCAGAATAAACAGAATTTGAGAGATTTTATCAAAACTAACCCAGCACTTCAAAACATCCTAAAGGGAGTTCTGTGGACACAGAACCAACAAGAACAGACAACAAACAGAGATTGGCAGGTATGGCAACACCACCTGGAACACAGCAAACAGATAGTGGAGTTCAGAACAGAACAAAACTATAACAACAAACTCAAAGGAACGGGGGATCAACTGAAGGCCAAAAACATATAAATGTCAAAGAAGGGACAAAAGCAGCAACAGAAGCCCAGATGGTGGGGATGCCAGGTAAATTACAGGTTACAATGGAGTATCCTAAATGCAGAGAAAAGTTAGAAGACTACAAAGTAACCCCAAAGAAAGTTAACACTCCACAACATATCATAAAAATGAATTTCCAAGCAGAACAAGTGAACAGAGAAACTAGAAAGTAACTGACCAGAAACAACTCAAAGAACATAAAGCCAACACAAGAAAGAAAGCAGAACCAAAGAACGAACAGCACCGCCAAAAAAATAATACACTAAAAGGGGAAAGAAGCAGAATCGAAGAGATGGAAGCCAGAACCAGCAATACTGCTAAGATAGAAGAGCAAGCAGAAAAAAGGATTTTAAAAATCTGAAAAGAGTCTAAGATTCATGCTGGGTAACATGAACAGGAACAACTTAAGAATTATTGGCATTCCAGAATAAAAGAATCAGAGAAGTCCACAGAGGAGATAGTTGGAGAGCTTCTGGAAGAAAACTTCCCTAACATCTTGAAAGATGAGAAGATAAACATTCAAGAAGCTGAATGTACTTCAGGACGGATAGACCTCAAAAGAAAATCACCAAGACATATAATAATCAAGCTCTCCAATATCAAAGACAAGGAGAGAATCCTAAAAGCGGCCAGCGAAGGAGTTAACCAAGCAGGAATGTAGAGTGGGTTGGTTTTGTTGTTGTTGTTAAGTGTCATTGAGTCGGTTCTGACCCACAGTGATCCTGTATAGGGTTTCTGAGGAGTGGATGGTGAGCTTGAACTGTCAACCTTGCAATTTAAACTGACTTTGCAGTCCAGTGCATTAACTCACAGGACTACATATACTAGAAGGCACTTAGCAACAACAACAAATATTTGAGAGAAACTGCTCTGGCTGGTGTAAGGAGATAGGAGTTCTATACTAAGAGCACACCCTTAACAAAACAGTGATCTCATCTGGATGCTGGTTCCATGCTTGGCAAGACAATCATCAGACCGCCATTTAGAAGCAACTGCATAACAGAAGTTGGTGCCCAAAGCATCACAGAATGGCAAACTGACTAATTGATGGGAAGTCTTCTCTTTGTAAAAAGTCTTCTCTTTGTGAAACAGCCTTCTGAGAGAGTTCTTTAAGTTGAACTGACAGCAGAGCTCACTGGCCTACAAATGAACTATAGAAATAGAGTGACTTGCATTCATCAGCGATCCCCAAACAATAGCTCAAAACCTGTCCATACAGGGCAGGGGTCACAGAAGAAAAATACTCTTCCAGTATCAAAGGTCAGAGAAGCTCTCTTTTTCACTCCCCTCCATGCTTGCTCATAACCGTTTCACAGATTTCACACAAGACATTATTTCCAATGGTATTAGCATCAGTGTCATTTGAAGGGGCTAAACTTGTTTAAACAATAGGATGAGTTCAACCAGAATTATGTGTCCCTTATTACTGCCCAGCATACTCTATGTTATTTTGCTTTTATTCCTTAAATTTCTATTGTTGTTGTTGTCAGGTGCCATCGAGTCGGAACCGACTCATAGCGATCCCATGCATAGCAGAACGAAACAATGTCTGATCCTGGGCCAACCTCACTACCGCTGCCACACTTGAGTCCATCAATGATGCCACCTGGCTGATCCATCTCGTTGGGGGTCTTCCTCTTTTTCTCTGACCCTCCACCCTACCCAGCATGACATCCTTCTCCAACGACTGTTTCCTCCGGACAATATGTTCAAAGTAGGAGAGACGAAGCTTAGCCATCCTGGCCTCCAAGGAGCACTCTGACTGCACTTCTTCCAAAACACATCTATTGGTTCTTTTGGAAGTCCATGGCACTTTCAGTATTCTCCTCCAACACCACAACTCAAAGGCATCAATTCTTCTACGATCCTCCTTATTCACTGTCCAGCTTTCGTATCCATATGAGGCTATTGAAAACACAATGGCCTGGGTCAGGCGCACCTTAGTCCTTAAGCCGACATCTCTGCTCTTCAATACTTTAAAAAGTTCCTGTGCAGCAGATTTGCCCAGTGCAATACGTCGTCTGATCTCTTGACTGCTACTTCCGTGAGTGTTGATAGTTGATCCAAGAAGAATGAAGTCCTTGACAACTTCAATCTTTTCTCCATTGATGAGAATGTTGTTTATTGGTCCAGTGGTGAGGATTTTTGTTTTCTTGACATTGAGATGTAATCCATATCGAAGGCTGTGCTCTTTAATCTTCATAAGTAAATGTTTCAAGTCCTCTTCACTTTCAGCGATCAAGGTTGTATCATCTGCATATCACAGGTTGTTAATGAGTCTTCCTCCAATCCTGATGCCACGTTTTTCTTCATAGAACCCAGACTCTCATATTATTTGCTCAGCATACAGGTTGAATAAGTATGGTGAAAGAATACAACCCTGTCTCACACATTTCCCAATTTTAAAACATTCAGTGTTCCCATGTTCTGTTCGAACAACTGCTTCTTGGTCTAGGTACAGATTTCCCACATCCTATACAGCCAGATTTGACAGCACAGTCATGAGACAATATCAGATTTTCTAATTTTTTTCTAATGCTAATTTTTCCTATAGAAGTTAATTCTCTATACCCTTGATAGACTAACAGGCTGCTCAACTGGTATAAAAAATATCATACACATTTGGAAGAAATTGTACCTTGGTGAAGCCTATTTGCTCCTTCCGGAAATTTTCCAGGGGCTTGATCAGCAAATCACTAGCATTGTGTACCTAGAGAAAAAGAATAAACATACAACTTTTAGGTCAACAAAGTTCAGATATAAGATTTTTTTGTTACTAACACAATTTCCTTATAATATACAACTCCGCAAAGTGCTGGTTGGTTAGCTTCTTTTTGTTATAGTCTTTTTTCCACGTTGATATTTGAAAATAAAATGTTGATAGAAGAAATGAGAGAAGGAACATTAGGGGGATTTTTCGATAACTTCACTGATAGTCCAGCTTGAATTTTAATCCATAAATATATAGAGTCATATCTATCAGAAGACACAGGGGACTTGGAGTACATGGGAAAAAAAGAAAAAGAATTCATGAAAAGGCTAACTGCACCAAGTGCAAACCACTTCATAGCATCAGGAAAAATCCCAGGATAAATCATTTCCAGTGGTGTCCTGGTGCATCATAAAATGAGAACATTTCCTTCAGTACTTGGAGTTTTTTATAGCATCATAGAACAAACTGAACCAGGCCTTCAAATTACCTTAACTATAGATGCACATAAGCTGATAAGTACTACTGGATCAATGAAATTTCCCATATCTCTGTTGGCTCTAACCATACTACAACTTACCTCCCAGCACAATACTTGGAGTCCTGGTGTGATGCTGTAGAATAAAGCATTGGAACACAGGGTCCGTTTGAATCATGAGGTCGGTGGTTCAAACTCACCAGTTGTTCCTTGGAAACCCTATACAGTGTCACTATGAGTCAGAAGCAACTCAGTAGCATTTAACAACAACAGCATGACACTTAGGGCCCCTTACAACTCTGGATGTATTCATTAGACAAAGGCAAGAAAGTCCATGGATTCATACCTGCAAAATGCCACAGTGGAGACTTTTCTACAAAGATCTCCAATACTTACAAAAATTCACTTTGATTTCACATTCAATCACAACCCTGGAATTAAAAATTAAAGACACTGGTGACGCTCCTTGATTGAAAACAAGCATTTTTCTACTCAAAGTACCAGCCCCCCTCTTCTTCCCGACACACTACACTTCCTTGGGTTGTGCTTTATATTTATCAACTCTGTGTACCATGTAGAAACAAATTAAGTCACTGATGTTATAGACTCAATGCGAGAAGTCATTTATCTTCTTTACAATTTTAACAGATTTCAAACATGGCAACAAATGCTTGGATACTCCTCCCATTGAGAGGTGATGTCTTTGCATCTTCCACTTGAATGTCAGCAGGCTTGTTACTGCGTTTACCAACAGACTACAGCAGAAGTGGCACTATGTGAGTTTCCAGGGTAAGTCATTAAAGGCCTAAATCCTCCACCTACTTCTCTTGGGAAACTTCATTTGAGAGACCTGAGCCACTATAAAAAGTAGGATTACTCTGAGACTACTATCAAGCTGGAGAGTCCAAATGTAGACACTCAGGTCAACAGTCCCAGTTGAGTTCAGTTTTTCAGTTATCTCTGTCAAGTTGCCAGACAGGTGAGTGAAGTAGTCTTGGACCCTGAAAGTGACCCATCAGCCAAGTGAACACTACCATATAGAGTGGAAGATTTACTCAGCTGAGCCCTGCCTGGATTCCTAACCCACAAAATAGTGATAAAATATAAATTTTATCCTAACTCACAAAATATAATAAAATTTTATTCCTAACCCACAAAATATAATAAAATTATTGTAGTTTAAGCCAATAATGTTGGGGTAGGTTGTTACATGGTGGTGGTGGTTATGTGCCGTGGAGTTGATTCCAACTCATAGAGACCCTGTACAGGGTTTCCGAGGCTGTAAATCTTTATGGGAGCAGAAAGCCTCATCTTTCTCCCACAGAATGGCGGTTCACAGCCCGATTCATAACCACTACGCTACCAGAGAAACAGAAAACTAGAAAATCTATTACCAATTTCACAATCCATCTCATTGGGGGGTCTCCCTCTTTTTTGCTGACCCCTCACTTTACCAAGCATTGTTTCAGGAACTGGTCCCTCCTGATAATATGTCCAAAGTCTGAAAGATGAAGTCTTGCCATCCTGGCTACTAAGGAGCATTCTGGCTGTACTTCTTCCAATACAGATGTTTCCTCTTCTGGCACTCCATGGTACTTTCAATATTCTTCTCCAACACCATAACTCAAATGCATCAATTTTTCTATGGTCTTCCTTATGCATTGTCCAACTTTCACATGTACATGATGCTACTAACAATACCATGGCACTGAAGTTGTCAAACTGACATCTTTGATCTTGAACACATTAAAGAGGTCTTTTTCAGTAGATATGCCTAATGCAATACTTTGTTTAATTTCTTGACTGCTGCTTCCATGAGTATTGGTAATGGATCCAAGCAAAATTACGACATTGACAATTTAAATCTTTTCTCCACTTATCATGATGTAATTTACTGGTCCAGTGGTGAGGATTTATTTTTTTCTTTACATTGAGGTGCAACCCATACTGAAGGCTTTGATCTTCATCAATAAGTATTTTAAGTCCAAAACAACCTGTGATTTGCCTTTCAGCAAGCAAGGCAAATAACAGGTTATTGATGAGCCTTCTTCCTATCCTCATGCCATGTTTTTCTTCATATAATCCATTTTCTCAGATTATTTGCTCAGCATACAGACTGAGTAAGTATGGTGAATGAATACAACCCTGGTGCAGAAAACACCAATAGATACTATTTCCAAACCTTTTCTTCTTTTTGAAACTCATTGCTATTGCACTATCTGCCAGAACAGAGAGCTAGAATGTAGACAAAGGCTAAGCTGAAGACTGGCTCTCTTTTCCTTTTCATTCTGTTATATCATTAAACCTCTTAGAAGTCTGACAAGTACTCAAAACAACAATAACAATAAAAAAGAAACTCGAGTAAAATTAGCCTTTAATCTTCTTTCTGATCACTTCGCCTATTTTGGAAGCTCTTCGGGAGAACAGCTCATACCTGCTGTCTCAGGGTTTTTGTTGTTGTTTGTGTGCTATTGAGTCAGTTCTGACTCATAGTGACCCTGTATAGGGTTTCCGAGAGAAGCTGGTGGGTTTGATCTGCCAAGCTTGAAGTAAGCAGTCCACTGCTTATCCTACAGCACAACAGCAGAGTAGAGTCCCCAATATCAGAAGTAACATCCTGAACACATTATTTAATTTATCTGATCAGCTTGCTGTGGGAAGAAGCCCAAACTACAACTTGGCAGAAGAGAACTAGTATTCAATTCAGTAATGCCAGACTAATCAGGAATATTTAATGGCTAACCAATTACCAAAATAGGACATTGGAGATGAACTGTTTGAAATACTATGGGTTTCTTCGGGTCATCTTTGGCAGTCCTGAAAAATAGACCTAGCACATTGCCAACAGAGTACCGTTTAGAGAAAAGAATCAAGACATAAAGAAGTCTGTTGTCTCAACTTTCCTTCTGAAATACAGCTATCTCCTCTCTCCCCACCTCCACCAGATAAATATTCTACTACTTATGAACATCACAGCACTTCTTCATATCTTATTCCATCCATAATTATTGCCACAATTTAAATTAATTTATGAAATGACTAGACATTCGTTTTAGAAGAAGTACAGCCAGAGCTCCTTGGAGGCCAAGATGGCTAAGCTTCATCTCTCATACTTTGGACATATTGTGCGGAGGAAACAGTCGCTGGAGAAGGATGTCATGCTGGGTAAGTTGGAGGGTCAGAGAAAAAGGGGAAGACCCCTAATGAGATGGATTGACCAGGTGGCATCATTGATGGAATCAAGTGTGGCAACGGTAGTAAGGTTGGCCCAGAATCAGACATTGTTTCGTTCTGCTGTGCATGGGGCCTCTATGAGTCGGTTCCGACTCGATGGCACCTGACAACAACAACAACAACAACAACAACAACAACAACAAGAGATTCGCAAAAATAGGATTCTGAAAGTTCTATTATTCTAACATTTTTTTTTACCTCTTCTTTTAGAAAGAATAAAAAGACATTTAACACCTCCCAAATTATCCAGGATGAGGTATGTTGTTGTTGTTAGGTGCCACTGAGTCAGTACCAACTCATAGCGACAGTATGCACAACAGAACGAAACACTGTCTGGTCCTGCACCAACCTCACAATCATTGCTACACTTGAGCCCACTGCTGCTGCCATTGTGCCAATTCATCTCATTGGGGGTCGCACTCTCCTTCTCCAACCCTACTTCTCCAATCCTTCTCCAGTCCCTCCTGATAATATGTCTGAAGTATGAGAGACGAAGTCTGGCCATCCTGGATTCCAAGGAGCACTCTAGCTGTACTTCTTCCAACACAGATTTATTTGTTCTTTTGGCAGTCCATGGTATTTTCAGTATTCTCCTCCAACACCATAACTCAAATGCATCAATTCTTCTACAGTCTTCTTTATTCATTGTCCAACTTTTGCATTCATATGAGGCTATTGAAAATACCATGGCTTGGGTCAGGCGCACCTTAGTCCTCAAACTGACATCTTTGCTCTTCAAATATGGTATGGTGGTGGTTAGGTGCCGTGGAGTTGGTTCCAACTCAGAGTGACCCTGTACAGGGTTTCTGAGGCTGTAAATCTTTAAGGGAGCAGAAAGCCTCTTCTTTCTCCCACGGAACAGTTGGCCGTTTCAAACTGCTAACATTAAAGTTCATAGCCCGAATCGTAATCACTATGCTATCAGAGTCATTTTATCCCATGTTATGAATTGAATTCTGTGCCCCCCTCCAAAATATGAGTCAACTTCCCTAGACCATGATTCTCAGTATTATGTAATTGCCCTCTATTTTATGATCTGATGTGTTTAATCCTGATCTAATGTAAGAGGATTAAGCTGGGATACATTCTAGTCAGTTACAGCTCTGATCTAATGTAAGGGGAGTTTTCCTGGGAGTGTGACTTGCATCATCTTTTATTTTACAAGAGATTAAAAGAAAAGGAAATGAGCAGAGAAGAAGACCACTAAGAAAGAAAAGTCAGGAATAGTATACAGCCTTTGGACCTGGGACCCTTCACCGGAAAATTCCTAGAACCAGTAGACACAGAA